AACACAGTATGTCTCAGTGGGGTCCAAGATTGTTAAACAGCCTTGCATCATACATAGAAGATTACAAATAAACCCCTAGTTGTCTCCAAAAGGAAACCGGATAGATTCCTGAAGTCATTACCTGACCTGCAGGGCTGAGCTTTGTATGTTGTACTGTGAATGGCCAATAGTAACAGTCTCATTAATCTCCACTGGGAGACCTGGTCATGGACTAGGCCATGGGGGCTTTAACCCCCAGAACACCTTCTAGGTACAGTGGAACCCCGGTTTTTGTCTGGTTTGGTTATTGTACAATTCAGTTCAGTTTTCGACCACTTTTTTCGGTGAAATTTTCCCCGTTTTCGTACATCCACTCGGAAATCATCCATACCAGACACATCTGCCTGCCCATGAGATGCGGCCACTCATATGTTTGTGACTCAGTGTGTCTTTGTTACTTGTTCAGTGAGCATTACTCCGCACGTTCATCCAAAACATTTCATAATAATACATTGTTTTTTGTCCTTGCCACTGCTAAATAAGCCACCATAGGGCCAAACAAAGTCCATGGGGTTGGAGGTGAGTGGCTAACCACTGAAGAGCTGCAAGACCTTCATCTGGAACAGCAACAGACCTTAGCTGAGGAAATTGCTTCAGAGGAGGAGGAAGAGAGAGAGGAGAATGTGCCTTCTTCAGCAATTAAGGATATTTGTGCAAAGTGGAGTGAAGTGCAAAGTTTTGTGTAGAAATATCACCCTAACAAAGTTGTTGCAAGCCGTGTCAGCAACATGTTCAATGACAATGCCGTGTCCCATTTTTGGGGCACCAGAAACAGGCCTCTCTGGACATTTTTTGTGCAACAGGGGTCCAGTGACTCTCAAGCTGGTCCTAGTGCCAGTAAAAGACAAAGAAGGGAAGTAACCCCGGATAGGGCTTTGATACCTGAAGTCCTTATGGAGGGGGATTCCCCTTCCAAAAAATAACCTCTCCTCCCTCTTCCCTCCGTGCCATCTTCCATATGCCAACAAGAGTCTTCAATAAAGGTAAAAGTGATGTTAAATGTTCATTTATCCATTTCATTAGTGCTTTATATTTATTTCTCACTGTTTTCTGTATGTAAAACTATAGTTATTCTCTATAAAATTAATTTTTTTGTTAATGTTTCTGGGTGTCTGGAATGGATTAACTGGATTTACGTAATTTCTTATGGGAAATATTACTTCAGTTTTCGTACCAATCGGTTTTTGGCCGACCTAGAACAGATTAAAGACGAAAACCAGGGTTCCACTGTAGACACCATGTCATCAACTTAAAAAACTGGTGACTTCACTAGACACCAGGCTGTGGCTCGTACGTTGGATTGCGTGCAGCCAGCAGTAATAGCCTGGTTGATCAGGCCCTGATCCACCATGAGGCCTGGTCACAGGCCGGGCTGCGGGGACGTTGACCCCCGGAACTCTCTCCAGGTAAACTCCAGGTAAACACCCCATACATGTACAAAGGAAAGGCAGAAATTTTCCCTGTACTATTATGCTTATAGATTAAATTCAATATTTTTCAGATTAAACACTTGTCTTTTTTAATCTGCACTGAACATTAACTTAATTATAGTTTCACTTGGATTTTCAGTACTGTGATTACATTTGTGCAGACATTTTTATCTGAGTGATTCACGAAGCTATACAGCATTCACAGACCACATGTAATTTAAATCTAAAGTCAAAATTCACATGTTAAGTGTTTTTTAATTTCCTAAACATTTAAACATACAGAGCCCTCATGCAAAAAATTTACTCAAAAATTTCCAAGACTAAACTAGCATTGCCTATATGAATGGGTCTAATTTTTAGGTTACATTAATTACCACCAAAAATATCACAAACTTAAAAGCTTAGAAATAATAGCACTAATATAAAACATAATATTACTTAATATAAACATGCTTACTTAAAGGTGAGGGAAGGCAGCTACAATCAGCAGAGACATTAAGCCATGTGGCCACAGACACTAAGCCTAAATGATCAGGCTAGCAACTAAAAGGCCTGGTTAAGGATTGGGCCGTGGAGGCATTGACCCTCGGAATGACCTCCGTGTAAGACGAGGGTGGTGACCCCCAGAATTGACTACACGTAATGGGTAACCTACCATAACTGACACTAGCCTCACACACACTAATCTAATCTAATTACAGTACCTATTTGTGTGCATGTGTTTGGATTTGTATATGTGCAGTCTGGTATATGTGCAGATACGTATACCACAACATTGTCTATCATGATGAAAGACAACCCAGTAGCTGCTTGTATAAGTGTCCAAGAAAACAGTAAACATTGGTTGTAATATTGATGGTGTATATGTGTATGAACATAAGAACATAAGAACGAAGGAACACTGCAGAAGGCCTACTGGCCCATGTGAGGCAGGTCCAAGTCTCCTACCGGCTTAAGCCAATGCACCCAACCTAGTCAGGTCAGGTCACACTGACTTAAGGGAGGAACACGGCAACTGACCTGGTAGCACAAGCTATCAGGTCCAACTCACACCCACCCACATCCACTCATGTAATTATCCAACCTATTTTTAAAGCTACACAACGTTCTGGCCTCTATAACTGTACTTGGGAGTTTGTTCCACTCATCCACAACTCTATTACCAAACCAGTACTTTCCTATATCCTTCCTGAATCTGAATTTTTCCAACTTAAAACCATTGCTGCGAGTCCTGTCTAGGCTAGATATTTTCAGCACACTATTTACATCCCCTTTATTTATTCCTGTCTTCCATTTATACACCTCAATCATATCCCCCCTAATTCTACGTCTTTCTAGAGAGTGCAGATTCAGGGCCCTTAGTCTATCCTCATAGGGAAGGTTTCTGATACATGGGATCAACTTTGTCATCCTCCTTTGTACATTTTCCAGAGAATTTATATCCATTCTGTAATATGGTGACCAAAACTGTGCAGCATAATCTAAATGAGGCCTAACCAAGGATGTATAGAGTTGAAGAACAACCTGAGGACTATTATTTATGCTTCTTGATATGAAGCCAAGGATTCATTAGCTTTATTGCGAACACTTATGCACTGTTTGTCTTGGTTTCAGATTACTGTAACCAGAACTTCTAAATCTTTTTCGCAATCCGTAATATTAAGATCTACATTATCTAGTTTATATGTGGCATGGTTATTGTCCTGTCCAACATTTAGAACTTTGCATTTGTTTATATTAAACTGCATCTGCCACTTCTCCGACCACTGCATCAGTCTATTCAAATCTTCCTGGAGTGCTCGAATGTCCTCATCAGAATGAATTCGACGGCCTATTTTGGTGTCATCGACAAACTTGCCGATGTCGCTCTTTATGCCCTCATCTATGTCGTTTATGTAGATTGTGAACAGCAGGGGCCCAACACTGACCCCTGTGGAACACCGCTCGTGACGCTTCCCCACTCTGATTTCTCCCCATTTATGCAAACTCTCTGCTGCCTATTTGTCAACCATGCCTCTATCCAGGAAAAAATTTCTCCTCCTATTCCATGTGCCTTAATTTTCCTCAATAGTCTCTGATGTGGGACCCTGTCAAAAGCCTTACTAAAGTCCATATACACAATATCATATTCATTACCATGATCTACCTCCTCAAATACCTTAGTGAAAAAAGTTAATAAATTCGTAAGGCAGGAATGCCCCTTTGTAAAATCATGCTGAGATTCCTTGATTAATTTATGCTTTTCAAGGTGGCTACGAACTGCCTCGGTAATTATTGATTCCATAAATTTTCCCACTATGGAGGTTAGGCTTATTGGTCTATAGTTCGAAGCTAAGGACCTGTCACCTGTTTTGAAAATAGGTATCACATTTGCCACTTTCCACTTATCTGGCACCATGCCAGTTTGTAGTGATATGTTGAAAAGATTAGCCAAAGGTGTGCTAAGCTCCTCTTTACATTCCTTTAGAACCCTTGCATACAGTTCATCAGGGCCTGGGGACTTGTTAGGTTTTAATTTATCTATTTGCCTAAGGACCATGTCACTTGTGACCCTAATCGTGCTCAGTTTATTATCGTCCTGTTCTACATAATTTATCATTACTGGAATATCGCTGGTATCCTCATGTGTAAAAACTGAGAGGAAGTATGTGTTAAAAATTCTACACATTTCCTTATCACTGTCAGTGAGTTGACCCGAGGAACTTTTGAGTGGGCCTATCTTGTCCCTGATCTTACTTCTGTATACCTGAAAGAATCCTTTTGGGTTAGTCTTCGATTCTCTTGCAACTTTAACCTCATAATCTCTTTTTGCTTTTCTAATTCCCTTTTTTATTTCTCTCTTTAACTGAATATATCGATTTCTTAATTGGCCCTCTCCTCTTTTGATTTGCCTATATATGCCTCTCTTTTGACCAATCAGATATTTTAATCTATTGTTCATCCATTTAGGATCATTTTTGTTTGATCTGATTTCCCTATTTGGAACATAATTTGACTGAGCAGCTAGAACTATGCCCTGGAAAGCATCATATCGGCAACCATCACCACCTACCTGACCCTTAGTCAGGTCATTCCAGTTCAGCCCACCTAAGTAATTTTTCAGTCCTATGAAATCAGCCAAGCAAAAGTCAGGGACGGAGACTTGATTGCCATTATTAGGGGAATTCCATGATATATTAAAACTGAGTGATTTGTGATCACTTTCCCCAAGCTCATCATTAACCTCAAGATTATTAATTAGTGTTTCCCTACTGGCAAGAACCAAGTCAAGGAGGTTATTTCCTCTAGTTGGCTCTGTCCTCAATCATATCCCCCCCTAATTCTACGTCTTTCTAGAGAGTGCAGATTCAGGGCCCTTAGTCTATCCTCATAGGGAAGGTTTCTGATACATGGGATCAACTTTGTCATCCTCCTTTGTACATTTTCCTTTATACATTTATTATGCTTCATATTAATTTGATTGAGTGTTACTATTCCTTAGTCTAAGCTTGCCAGTGGTGGTATTTTGTGGTAATGTGACAGAATTACATCCTTTTCAGAAATGTGCAGGAGGGTTTAATTTCATTAAGAATTAAACTGGCCAGGCAGCTAAACAAACCCTGTGATACCAAGATCTCTGCAGTTGCCTTGAGAACTGAATTAACCACCTATATTAAATACAAAGTGAGTAATATATATTCATTTATCTCTCGTCATTCACCAGGCCTCTAAATATGTAATGCACGAGTGATATTAAAGTGCCAAATTCAACGTGTTAGCTAAAGATGTGCCTAGCATTTGAGTTGTTTTCATGGCAAATGCACTTAGGCAAGGTTATGTCACATTCTTAGCTTCATTAAAAAATGTTGTTTTCTCCCTATCTTGACAGTTTCTACAGCCAATATGGTTCTCTTTATAACCTACAAAATGAATTCAGTTTAGTTATATCCTAGAAACCTACAGACTGTCTGTCGCATGGTTTAGCTTATATGTTGATATAGAATACATATACAAAAATTTACAGTGGTTTTAAGAGCACACAGATGTTACTGGCACAAAACCTTGTTCAGCTCTAAAAATAGGTTAGAAATATACATGAGTTGGTGATGGTAGGTATAAGACTTGGTAGGTAAGACACATAGGCAACAGTTAGGCCTATGTGTCTTACCTACCAACCTGTCGGTATTGTATACCATTTTGATATTCAGGTGTAAGACTTGCCTGGCATGAGCCAGTAGGCCTGCTGCAGTGGTCCTTTCTTTTGTTCTTATATACAGTACATTATGCACATTTAGCATAACCCGATAAAGCCACTTATAATCAGGGGGAAGTATTAGACCCATAGGGGTAATATGGAATCTACAGAATGGGAGCCAATCAGGACTGATCCATTTCCTTGGATCAAGAGCCTTTCACTGACATCAAGGATCTTGAGGCCAAGTTCCATTTGGGTCCATATTTTCACTAGTTGCAAATCGTAAGAACATACGAAACACTGCAGCAGGCCTTGTGGCCCATGCTAGTCAGGTCCAAGTCACATCCACCCATACCCACTCGTGTATTTGTCCAGCTTATTTTTAAAACTACCTGAATATGATGCAAGCATTATAGTCAGGTATCATTTATTTGTAGCATTTTATTAATTAAAATAATCCATGTAAATTCAGGTTACATGTTAACTAATGAGACACTTGCGCAACATTTGGGAATGTTTATGCTGGAAACGTTTCGCCAGCAGATACTTAAAGCTGGGCTGTGGTTCGTACGCTGGACTACATGCGGCCAGCTGTAACAGCCTGGTTGATCAGGCCCTGATCCACCGGGAGGCCTGGTCATGGATCGGGCCGCGGGGGCGTTAATCCCCGAAATACTCTCCAGGTAGCTAGTGGCTTCTTCAGTCCAACGCAGAGAAGTGTTAGATGAAGAGGAGTTTGAAGTAATCAGTCCCTCAGCCTGGAGTCGATATTTTCATCCATCAATTGATGGACTGAACACATTGACTCCAGGCTGAGGGACATATTACCTCAAACTCCTCATCTTCCACCTGTCTCTGCATTGGACTGAAGTAGCCAATGGCTGGCGAAACGTTTCCAGAATAGTTTCCCAAATATTGCACAAATATTTCATTTATGAACTTGTCGGTATCCTAGACCGTTTATCCAAATTATGTTACATTGTTGTAAGAATGTGATAAAACACATACGAACATAAGAATGAAGGAACACTGCAGAAGGCCTACTGGAAATAAATGGTATAAAATACCGACACAATGGAAATATAAACACAAATGCAGTATAATGTGATCCTTTATTGACAACGTTTCACCCACACGGTGGGCTTTTTCAAGTCACACACGGATCTACCTGGGGTTGGAACGTGTGGGTGAAACGTTGTCAATAAAGGATCGCATTATACTGCATTCGTGTTTATATTTCCAGAAGGCCTACTGCCTCATACAAGGCAGGTCCTTATCAAAACCACACTAATATAAAGCAAAGGAAGATAGGATAGAAATGTTAGTTACGGTTGATCATAAACTTTCACTCTTGCAAAATATGTAAGAACATGGTACCCATTCTAATTTAATTCGGTTTTGTATGTTAATATTATAAAAAAAATCAAGTGGAAGGACAAACCCCTAAGGGTCACATCGCTTGAGGAATGAGAGGCAATAAAGTTTGATGTACGGTAGTCGAAATTCCTTGGATCAAGAGACCTTCATGAGCATGAAGGTATCCCCCTCGAAGGGTAAAAACCCTAATAATATAAGTAATAATACTCACGAAACACGAAGAATCCGCGCCATCCTTCCCGTTATTTGAACATCTTCCTCCTTCACTGTTTTCATCATAGTTGTTGGTTCTTATCAACTGCCATAATAAACTACCATTTCTACCCATTACTCTCTTACCTATCAATTAGCCTTGAGTATGTATTTTTTAATAATAATTTACTAGTTATGCGAAGTATTTATGAGTTCTATTGTTGTGCTTGTTGCTTATGTTTTTTACAAGGACCCAATGGAAATAAGTCAATTTGACTTATTTTGGTTATCCTAGATAATTTATATTATGTATGATAATTGTGCTTATGTGTATCTATAACTAAATCATCTTACTTGCAGGGAGGTAGTGAAGGAAGGAAGGAGGGTGGTAGGGAGGGAGGGAGAGAGGGAGAAGTGATGGTGGAGGCTGCCTGCCTGCCAACCTCAGTCAACACCAGTGTGTAGTGGGTGTTGGCTGTTCTGTAGTGTTCCTTCTCCCTGTGTGCTTATCCATGTGCTACTCTCAACCATGAGAAGCCCTCTGCACCACCCAGGCAGCGTTTGCGTCAGATAGCCTACACTTGGTGTCGTATTTCTCTCATAGCTTAGTAAAGAAGCCAGCCGAGATGAGTCTGTCTAGCAACGGGAGGAACCCTCTGGCTGGTGTCAAGTATGAACACCTGGTGGCTGGTGTCTTCGGTGGTGTTGCTTCTACGCTCATCCTACATCCTCTAGACCTACTCAAGATCAGATTTGCCGGTCAGTAATAACACCAAATTAATTATTTTTGTACTATAATAGCAGTATCGTTCAGTGGTCTTTAGTTTATTTGAATTTTCCCAGAATGTTCTGTGGAATTCTGAGTTGGAACTGAGATGCTCCTCCATAATATGCCTTATTTTGATTGGCTGATGGCGTTTTTTGGGACTGTATTGTATACAGAAGTTTCGTAGTACATACAGGTGAATTATATATAAAACTGAAAAAAATATGTACTTATATTACCACTAGATAGTTATACCAAGGTGATTATGATGCCTTAACCTAGGATACTAAAGATTTTTATGAAAATTGCAAATTGTTAGAAAGTAACAAAGAATAATTTAGTAAAGGTACATACTACTTGTTTCCATAAGATAGCACCTGGTCTAGTGTAATTACTAATTCCTTTCGTGATTTATAAAAGCCCTAGTTATACATTGTGAATATCAAAATGGTATAAAATACCGAAAGTTGTTAGGTAAGACACATGAAACAAGTAGGTATCTTTATTTCTGCTTCTACCAACTTTTCTGTACTCGACTGAAGCCTGCTGTGTACACGAAACGTTTTGAAATATAGATGCCTAACTGTTGCATATGTGTCTTGCCTAATAACCTAGTTATACATTACAATCTGAATCTGACTTGATAAAATTTGCACTATATATTTTTTTCTTTTGGATACATCTGGTGGTCTTGTGGCTCAGATGGTAGCTGCATCAGCTTGTATACTAAGGAACTAGGGTTGGATCCCTGGCACTAGTAGAAACAGTATTTTTCCTTAAACTTGCTGCCCATGTTCACCGAACAGTGAATAGGTACCCAGGTGTTCGCTAACTAGTGTGGGTCATATCCTGGGAAAAAAGATTAGATGACCCCAATAGAAAGAAGATGCAGGCCTTAAACAGAACTTAACTTTATTGGGTTATCAAGGAGTTAATAATCTAAATAAAAACAGTCTATAATTATACAGGGCAGAAAAAGGATAAATCATGGAAGATGACTCTAGTGACATGATCCTCGGACAACTAAAGATTGAAATTAAACGAGCCACCAGTCCCGGACGATTATTTTCAAAGGTTGTAAAGGACTGTAAAGCAGAACTTAGCAAACTTTTAGCTACTCGTAACAGATAACTACAAAAGTGAGATAGGGCCTTAGCTTCAAATTTCTTTGTAGACCAGTGAGGCATAACTGTAGTTGTTGGGGATGCAGTTACAAGCCATCCCGTTAGATTAATTAGGTCAGATTTCAGCATGATTTTTAAAAGGGGAGTTCTTGTAATATGAATCTGCTTGCCCTTTTTTTTTTTTACTGAAGTATTAAATATGGTAGACCAAGATAAAGAATGTGACATTGCATATATGGATTGAATTTTTTTTTTTTTTACATCTTTAAAAAGTTTGTGTGACTGGCAGCTTGGTGTAAAACAGTTATTGAACTGCATTGTTGGATGTGCCGCTTTTTTCTTACTCTGATTATTTGTGGTTCGATATACTATTTTGTTTAACCCTGAAACTGTCCGAACTTAGATCTTTTCTTTTTTTTACATTTGAAAACTTGTAAAAAAAAAAAATTCAATCTACTTGTTTTTTTTATTTGAAAATATGTAAAAAAAACAGATCTACTTTTGGAGCACTACACATGTGAACATAAATTTGTTTGGACGTTTA